ATACTAGTAATCGGATGTATCAAAAAAGATACTTTAAACAATAGGAAGTGGCGCAGAAAATGGCCACCGTATACTATATGTCGTTTTAGCCCTAATCCAAAGGTCATATCATAATATATGTGCAAAATTTATTATTTTTTTTTTTTATCCGTCGTAGATATTGAGTCATGCATTAAAAGTGTGGGGTCTTGGTAAGTTAAAAAAATACTGTACTTAATTTATACCAATTCAGTTTGTTTACTAATAAATCAATAACAATCTACAGAACTTGTACTAATTAGTTCAGAAGAAGGCCGTGCTTCAAAGAAAATTCCAGAATATTTAAAACAAATACTTATTTTTCCTATCTATTCATAATATGGTTAGAATGTGCAATACTTTATATTCTTTAATTTAGAGAAGAAGAAGCTTATATATAGGTTATTGTGTAATATTATGAGTATTCGGGTCAAATATTTTAAATTGAAATATTGATGTTCAATCAATTTTAATAATTAGTTAAAATTAGAATTTTGAAAACTTTGAATAAGATTTGTAGTAAGTTGTTATATAATATTATATAACCAGACTTGTATTAATAGTAAAGTATCTACTCAAGAATATGGTCTAATAAATTATCAAAGTTTAATCAAAAATCACCGAATACTTATAATGTTATACAGTAACCCATATGCAATCTTCACGAACATTAGTAAAAAACTTGATATCCTTTTATCTCTATTAAGAATTTTTTTTTGAATTTAATGATCAGTATATTGATAAAGATTATTTATCCCTTTTTATATATAATTTAATAGTAAAAGATGACTTGCATGTTTTTAGATGTCTAGAGCGAATCGATTTACTTTTTTTGATTATTTTAGCATAATTCTATTCTTTTTTTTTTTTTTTTCCGGTGTTAAGGTGAGGTCTTGCCTTGTATCTTTTATTAGATATTAAATTTTTGCCTTATATAGCTACAAATAATCTTAAGAATACTGGCTTAGATAATTTTATCTACGACCTAAATCTACCAGAGTATGCTATGTTCCTACTACGTATTGGGTTATACCTGAATTTGATATTCAAACTATATCTAGTTACCCACTGCATTCACCCCATGTCTCACCGTCAAACCTTGGTAACTCGCAAATTGGTTCATTCAGGTAATCGGTCCTTAATAGCCTCTCAATTTGGTATGCCTGTTATTCAAAGTATTTCTAAACTGGTATACCTCTTCTAATAGGTGGCCTCTCGTCTACATTTCTCAAGCCAGGTACCTGCTGCCACCGCTAGTCCTACATGAGAAGCATTGGTATCACATGTTGAAAAGAAGACTTGTCACGGGTTTGTATCACTCAATTTGCCGGCTTGCATTCCTTCATGCAACTTATGTTATA